AGAAGGCAGAAGATTAGAATCAGAGCCACAGATGGCTCTAAAATTACTTTCAGCAGTAACTGAAAATAGCAGAGCCAATATATCTGCCTATTATTTTATTCATTCAGCTTCTCTTGAGGCACTATGCTATTTATTCCCATTGGTAGAATTTAAGAGCAAACATTCCAAGGAAATCAGCATAGGATGTGGAAAAAAAAAATCATAAAATACCCAAATTAAATGTTCAGTTTTCCCAGCCATAATTTAGCAATAGTCTTATGTTGTGTAAATGTTGGCCAGCATTTCAGGGCAACTTTAATGAAATATATTTCTGACTTTTGTTTTAAACCACAAGACAGAAAATCATTTAAAAAATAAAATGTTGCCATCATGAGAGTAAGACTTGATTCAGGCAAGAATCATCAACAGATGCTAAATTGAGTAGGTTAAATATTGGATGAGGAAATGAATATTTACAGTGTCAAAGTACCTCCCAACAAATTACTTATTAAATACAAAGGGCGCAATACTGACTTTACAGTGGAGAAACCTGGTGAACACTTCCTTAATATCCCTAGTAACCAGACACATGGCATCGCGTGTGTCCTGATGTGATGCACTGGGAAAGAACCATCGCTTCTGTGGGGTCCCTGCCCAAAATGAACATCCTGAAGGTAGTCATGAGGAAACATCAAATGAACCCAAACTGAGGGACATTTTATCAAATAGCTGCCCTGTACTCTTCTAAAATGTCAAGGTCATGAATGCCAAAGAAAGGCGGAGGAACTGCTGTAGCTTACAGGAGACTAAAGAGACATCACAATGAAATGCAACGTGCAAGCCTGGTCTGGATCCTAGACTGGAAAAACAAAACTGTTATACAGGACATTATTGGGACAATTGGCAAAATTTGAATAAGAACTGTAGATTAGGGTATTATATCAATGTTAAATGTCTTGATTTTGAAGGGTGTGTTGTGGTAATGTAAAAGAAAGTCCATGAATGTCCATATGCTGAGGAAATACACACTGAAGTTCTTAAGAAGTACCCTTAGGGTAGAGAAAACAATAAAGCAAATGTGGCAAAATGTTAACAGCTGGTAAATCTGGCTGAAGGATATATGGGAGTTCTTTTGACACTTCTTGCTTTGTTATTCTTGTTTTAAACTATTTTCACTTTTCTGACTGAAATTATTTCAAGATAAAAAGTTAAAAATAGCAATTAAAATAAAATGATGTGCTTTCTATGGTCCATTGCATTGGAACTCACTGAAGAGCTGCATCAGGGGCCGGCCCAGTGGCGCGTTGGTTAAAAGTTGGCTTGGGACGCCAGCTCTGAGCAACAAGGCCCGGTTTGGATCCCACATGTGGACCAGTGATGCTGCGTCCTCTACAGCTAAGATGCTGAACAACAGCTCGACCTGGAGCTGGGCTGCCGTGAGTCGCCAGCGACGGTGTAGGCTGCAGTGAAGCTGCTGTGGGCTGCCATAAGCTACCGTGAGTGTCTGGCAACTGGCGTGAGCAGCCGGCAGCTGGCATGAGCTGCCAAGAGCTGCCGTGAGCGGCCATCCAGTGGCCGGCAACCAATCTGCCTCACCCGGGAAGAGCCCAATGATAATACCAACATGGGCCAGTGAAGCGACGTCCTCCACAACCAGACTGAAGAACAAAAAAGGACAGCAACTTGTCTGTTCCCCTTCCCCGATTCCCCAACGCTGTTCCCCTCCGCCAATTCCCCAATAAAATCTTAAAAAAAAAAAAAGAGTTGCATCGTTTCAGGGTTGTTAACGTCAAGCAGGATTTCATTGGACCTGTGACCTGGAATCTTGGTTAGAAGAAAGTGTGTATGGCACATTGTCAATAGATTGGGATCTATCTATGTACTTGCTTGTCTTCTCCCATCCTTTTCCTTTGAAAGATGATGGTAAACTTGTTGACCATGTTCATCTTAGTGTCTCTGGGTTGAGTCACACAGTAGGCCCACACAGCTTTATGTTGGAGAGGCAGCACAGATAGTAGAAACGCCACTTCCAGTAATTAATGGTAAAGAACTATTATTTAAAATAGTGATAAACCTTTAGCTATTTAGTTTCATCTATTAAAACATAGTGAAATACGAGGTCTGACAATTAAGTTTGCAAACTCATCCTAGAAAAAGTGCTACATACCTCATTGCTGAATATCACTATAGTCGCCTTCGAAGTCCTCCCCTTGGGAAGCTATGCACCGTCGCCAGCGCCTAGTCCACCCTTCAAAGCAATTTTGGAACTCTTTGTAGAATGGCCCTCAGAGCTGTCGTCGTATTACCCTTGATGTTCTGAATGTCATCAAAATGTCTTCCTTTCAATATTTCCTTTATCTTTGAATAAAGAAAGAAGTCATTGGGAGCCAGATGAGATGAGTAGGGAGGGTGTTCCAATACAGTTATTTGTTTACTGGCTAAAAACTCCCTCCCAGACAGTGCCGTATGAGCTGGTGCCTTGTTGTGATGCAAGAACCATGAATTGTTGGCAAAAAGTTCAGGTCATCTAACATTTTCATGCAGCGTTTTCAGCACTTCCAAATAGTAAACTTAGTTAACTGCTTGTCCAGTTGGTACAAATTCATAATGAATAATCCCTCTGATACCTAAAAAGGTTAGCAACATCGGCGCAACAAGTTCGTGAACTTAATTGTCAGAACTTGTATACAGCAGGATTAATTTACCTGCAGAGAAGGGCAGTTACAGTATAGCATTACTGACGTTCTCTAATCCCAAAACTGTTTTGTCACTCTCTCTCTCTGCTTCAGCCAGGTAGAATTCTCTACAGCTTTGCTCATATCTCACCGTGTATCTTTCTCAAGTTTCCCTTCAAGTGCTGGTTAAGTTCCATTACAATGTCTTACCCTCTGTTTGGACCATTCCTTGCTACTGTAACAACCAAAGAATATCTACCAGGCACAAACCTTATAGAAAGGCTGTATTTAGCTGGCGTCTATACCAGTCTGGAATCTACCAGGAAAGTCATTTACATGTTGTGTGTACCTCTATTTCTTTAGCTGTAAAACGCCTCTCTGAACAGGCAGACCTTGTCTTGTTCAAATTGGGCCACATCCAGTCAACACATTAAAAAGGCTTGTGGGGGGAAGGAATATTTCATTTGGTGATACTTTCCCTGCCCTAAGGGAAATTGCAACATAATTGGAAGGACAGAAACACATCAGATGTTAAAGTGACTTGTGCAGAGGACTGATGTGATAATAGGAAGCCTTAATCCTGGTCTACCATGAATTCACTAAGGTTTCATGCCTATTTGTAAAATGAGAGGGTTGGATTGGATGATAATAATGGTAATGGCTGAACTTCACTGAGCACTTATTATATACCAAGCCCTATACTCACCACTGAATTAAGATTAACACACTGAAACCTCACAATACTACTGGGAGGTGCATACCACTATCATCCCTATTTGACAAATAATCTGTGAGAGCCTTTCAACAGCAATGTTCTATAATTATGTGATTTCAAGTTAAGTAATATGGTAAACTGTAGTTTTCAAAGGTGGCCACAATATTTCCCATCCCACGTGCTCTTCTTAAAGTGTGACTTTGACACTCCTACCTTTGAGAGATGGGTCTAATGTCCCCTCATTGAATTTGGGTAGGCTTGTGACTGGAGAAAGCGATGTTATGTGACTTCTGAAGCCAGATCATAAAACCCAACATAGCTTATATTAGTTTTTTTATTGCTGCACAACAGATTACCACAAACTTAAGCTTAAAATAGTAGTCATTTATTAGCTCACAGTCTGTAAGTCAGAATTCTGGCCACAGCATGGCTGGATTCTGTGCTCAGAGTCTCACGAGGCCAAAATGGCTAGACTGAGTTCTCAGAGGGTCATTGGGGATCATCTTAGAATTCTGCCTGCCACATAGCTTCTGTTTCTGTTGTTTTGCTTGTTCTTGGAGCTTACAATGAAGAAACCTGGCAGACAACTCCTTAACCAAATGAGCCAACTTAACGTCACCAATGATGGAACAAAGTGACATCATGTATCTGCCACTGTGATACCTTAAGGACATAACATCACCTGTGTAATATTCTTGGCAAAAAATGTTTAACCTAAATCTAATTATGAGAAAACAGACGTCCAATTAAGGACATTCTGAAAAACCAATGACTTATACTCTTCAAAACTATCAATGCCACTAAAGCCAAAGAACACTGAGGAACTCTTCTAGGTTAAGGGAGGTTAATCTAAAAGAGAAAACTAAATGTGAATCTTGGTTGGATCCTGAATCTCCGACTCTCCAACAAGAAAGAAAAAAAAACCAGCCATAAAACTGCACTGCACATCAGATAACAGTACTGTATTAAATGTTAAGTATCTGAGTGGATTATTGTATTGTGGTTAAGAGAGAATGTCCTTGTTAAGAGCCAGATGCTGGAATATTTAGGGGTGAAACATCACTATGTCTGCAAGTAACGCTCCAGCAAATTGTGTAAGGATTACAATTTTTTACCTGGTTGAAGAATTTTGTATCAACATCTAATCAACACTGTCCACACACTGGACAGAACAAGCAAAGTTTCCCTCCATAGAGCTGAGGAGAAGCAGGCAGCCAGACACTCATCTTCCCGGGTGGCATGTGGAGCCCTGAGAACTTCAAGGTGGCTGCAGCACGATGGGAGCGAAGGACGAGGCTGTGATTCCACCTTTGCTAGACGGGGCACACACACAGCCATGCACATCACACGCATGCACACTCTACATACTTCAGGTACTCACACAAAGGAAGGCAGCAGTACGAGGCTGTGCTCGGGCCCCCAAAGGCACACACGCTACAGAGGTACAAGCCGTCCGACGCACTTTATGGCAATCACGTGAAGGGACGAAAGCAAGGCCACATTCCCGCCCCCAAAGGCACACAAACGACAGTGGCACAGGCTGTCTCGCGCACTTTACGGCAGTCACGCGAAGGCCGAGGGCCGTGGGCAGACGCTACATCCGGGTAGGCGCGGCTTCGAGTTTCCACGCCCCAAGTCATTGTGAGCTGGCTGTTCATCCGTTAGCACTCCCAGGTTCGGTGATCAGGGTGGCAATGTCAGCACTATGGCAGAAGGCAAGGGACTACATGAAAACCAAGGAGTTCCGAGATTATATAACCAGCACACACTTTTGGGGTCCCGTGGTCAACTGGGGCCTACCACTGGCTGCCATTAATGATATGAAGGCATCGCCAAACATCATCAGCGGCCGCATGACGATAGCGCTCATCTTGAACTCCATGGCCTTCATGCGCTTCGCTTATCGCGTACAGCCTCGAAACTTGCTTCTGATGGCGTGCCATGGCACCAACGTGGTGGTGCAGAGTGTGCAGGCGAGCCGCTACCTAATCTACCACTATGGCGGTGGCAGCGCTGCAGAGGCCACTGCTGCTGCCACTGATGCTGCCACCGCCTCCAGTGCTGTCGCTACCACTGCCTCCAGTGCTGTCGCCGCCACCACCACCACCATTGACACCTGCCCTACATTCTGCGACCCTGTGATTATCTGCTTTGACTAGGTGGCCACCAGCCCCAATCCTCAGTCGCTGAAATGAGTTTCTTCATGACTGGGAGGGCCATATCGAATCTTTGCAGCTTGCAAGCACTGAACTATTCTTCCTAAAGAAGAGACCAATGAAAAGTTTGGTTTTGACTCTAAAACAGTGCAAATCTGACTTAAACCTGTAGTTTGGTTAATAAATTGAAAGTAGCACTGAACTGAAGCTGAGTGCTGGCCTCTTTCTTGACCTGGAAATAAATGTTTTGTAGAAGGGTGAGGGTAGATTGGTTGGTCTTCCTGTTCATGGGACCTGCAACTCAAGGGTTAGTTTTACATAGGGGAGGAAGGCTGTTTGAACGAAAGACACTTCAAATTATCTAGCTCATTATTTTGTTGTTGTTTTCTTAAAAGCTCTCTTGGGAACATGTTTGGGTGTCCAGTCCAAATAAAGATGCTTAGCACACAGGCCTTTTAAAACTTGGTAGAGCCACAAGTTTCTTTACACCAAAAATAATAATAATAATAATAATAAATAAATAAATAAAAAATCCGGAGGCTATTTCTACTGATGGAAATACTTGGGAGAGAGTTTAAATGGACTCAGTGACATCCAGTTTAGACTTTTAAGGAGTACTTATTAAGATATCCTATTATAGAATCTCGTGGTAACTGAGAGCAATGATAGAATCTTCCATGGAGACAGGATAAACAACTCTGAGGTCAGTTGCTGTCAACCCTGGACTCTAGGTAAATAGAAAATAAAAATGACAAAATCATAATCCTTTCCTCTTTTCCTCACGCCTAAACATGAGGGGAAATAGCGGTTTGTAAAACTGGTGAGCCTGTCGACCTGTACTGAACAGTAGCTAGCGTTGGGTGTGAAGGTCAGTGGTCAACAGTATTAGCCCAGATTATCTGCTAGGCATTTCTTGGTGCTATGGAGTTTTCTTAAACCAGGGAGCAGGGGAGGAGGGAACAGAGAAGGGTGGAACTGTGAATGTGAGGCCGTTCTGCACCAGAGGCTACCCGCTAGGCTTTGCCCCCAAATCTTCCCCAGCCTCTGGAGGATACAGGAAGTTCCAAAGTGGTCTACTGGGGAATCCCAATGTATGTGTTTAAGACTGTTTAAACCCTGCTTTTGTTAAAGATTTCAAATGCGAACAAATCGAGAACGACTATCTGAAAGGTTCTGAAATTATCAGGCCTTGGATAATACAGGCACATTAGTGGAATTCTGGAAGATTCCCCTTTATCTTCTGTGGCATCTAAGCAGAAGGCTTCTTTGTAGGCAGTTTCTGCATTTCATGTTCTACATACAGGGTAAAAAAACCGGAAAACTATAGTGTATGTTATCTATTGCTGTGTAACAAATCGCCCCCAAACTTAGCTTAAAACAACTAATATTTATTATCTCACAATTTCTGAGGGTTAGGAATTGGAGTGGCTTTGCTGGGCGCTGCTGGCTCAAGGTCTCTCAGCTGTTCACTCTGAAGGCTTGCCTGGGGCTAGAGAATGCAGTTCCAGACTGTTTGCAGGCGGCTCAAGTTCCTTGTAATGTGGGCCATAGGGCTGTTCACAACATGCTCCCTAACACCCCCCCACCCCCGCCAACAGGTGTTCCAAGAGAGCGGAAGCCCAAGCCAAGATGGAAGTCATAGTCTTTTATAGCTTAAATTGGAAAGTGATATACCATCACTTCAGCTGTGTTCTATTGGTCACATGCACCAACCCTGATACACTGTATGAGATCAATACAAGGGTGGAATACCAGGAAGCAGGGATCATTGGAGGCTATCTTGTAGGCTGGCTACCATGCATGGTTCTGAAATAAAAATTCTCATGCAGGGCCGCCCCAGTGGCTCAGCTGAGCAACAGCAGTTCAAGTCCTGGCCTGAGCTGAGCTGCCGCTGAGCTGCCAACAGATGGCAGGATGGCTCAGCTAAAAAAAAAATTAAAAAAATTCTCATGCCTTTCTGAAACTCAGTAATAAAGCATGTAAGTTTACTGTTCACCTTCAGTCACAAAGATGTCACAAAATGCTCAATTTGCAGTTTTGTGGTCATTACTAACATGCATATAACATAGAACATGGGTTTGAGAAGCAGGAAAAAAGTCTGTTAGTGGCAGCTCCTAATATTTTAGATGATTCAGACTATAATCCGGTAACAAAAAGCTGTTCTTAAAGTTCTGAAATGAATCATAACCTTATATCAAGATTTTTATTAAACCTTTGAAGAATTTTCCCCTTCGCCATGAGTAGAAATTAATATATTTTTAGATTTGTCTTACAAATTGTATTTTGTGATTTGAGTATTATATTTCAATAAAAGACCACTGTCTGTTGAAGGCATTTCAGAACAGGTAGGTTTCTAATTAACCTGGTAAGGAGAAAGGAGGTACTCTCTGCTGCTAATTTCCTATCACTCTACATTTATAATTTATCCAAAAGATTAACAACACCTCCACTCTAACGCAATGCTCTACTTACAGGATCTATTATAATTCATAGTATGCCCACCCAACTAAAAGAGTGAACCCTTTGTTGCTTAGGATATTCGTGCTTAAAGCCACATAAGTGATTAATACTTTAATAAAAATGAATCTTTCAAATCATTAGGGTAACAATCATTTCATAATCTCCCCAAATTCTCAAGCAATCTTTTCTGGTCTTTGAAATTTAACTTAAACTGTCTACAGATCTCTACCACTACTTTATGAAGCCAGTAACATTTTCTGAATTGGCAGAGTTATGTCTCCAAAAGTCTTCATTACTGACACACTTTTTTTATTTCCCAGAATTTGTGTTTTATACTGAGTTTAATAAGTAATGACTTCCTCCTTAGGTCCTCGGAGCTCCCTGGCAAAGCACAGGCTAAAATCCAAAGAACTGCCTTATCTTTGCAACCACAATGCTAAAACCATTTTTCTCCTCTAATTCTTTCAAAACTATGAACCACATATTGTGTCCCAGGGAGAGGCCGGGAGCAAATCATGTCGCTGGATGAAAACAAGGCACTCAGAGATGAAACAAAGCCTTGTGCAGAAAGGAAACCACTTCCTGAGCTACTTCTGACTCTGACAACTCACAAATGCCCCAGGAGGTGGAGCTGACCTCCACAAAAATGGAGGCTGCGACATATTCCAGGAAATGTGACACATAACTCTTGCAGCTTGAATTTATATTGTTCATGTCTCTATTTTGAAATTAAAAATTTCAAATAAAAGTTTTCAAAATACACAAGTTGCATGTTTGTTGCAAACATTTCATATGAGAGTATACAAAATAGAACAGCCAAATTTCTTCTAACCACACCCCTCAACCCCAATTCCTTTCAGAGGTAACAGCAAAAAATCCTGGGAAAAACACACAACTTTCCAGACCTGTTATTTGAAAATACAAATAGTTTTACAGCATGCTATGCATTGTTAAACATTCTGCTTTTCTATGTAATATGTCTTAGAGATTATTCCAAATTACTGCAATGCAGCATTTCCTCATTCTCTTTACCAGTTGCATAATACTCTAAGATTTATTTAACCAGTACTTTTTTTTTTAATTATTAGTTTCAGGGGTACAAAACAATGCACTGGTTATGCTTTTCACCCCTCACAAAGTGACAACCCCGCTCCCTCTATCCAGTACTCTCTTGATGACTGGCTGCCAATGTTGCCGAGAACACCCTTTTGTGCATGCCCTGTGCCCATATGCACAGATCTGCAGAAGAGACGCCCACAGGTTGATGTCCTATACATGCCACATTTTAAAAAAAGATTTTATTGGGGAATTGGGGGAGGAGAACAGCTCTGGGGAATCAGGGGAAGGGGAACAGACAAGTTGCTGTAGTTTTGGTTGTGGAGGACGTTGCTTCACTGGCCCATGTTGGTATTATCATTGCGCTCTTCCCGGGTGAGGCAGATCGGTCTCCAGCCTCTGGACAGCCGCTCACGGCGGCTCTTGGCAGCTCACACCGGCTGCTGGCCACTCACGCTGGCTGCCAGCCACACACGGTAGCTTATGGCAGCCCACTGCAGCACGGGCTGCAGCCTACGCCGTCGCCGGTGACTCACGGCAGCCCAGCTCCAGGTCGAGCTGTTGTTCGCCATCTTAGCTGTAGAGGGCGGTGTCACTGGCCCCCATGTGGGATCCGAACTGTGGCCCTGCTGCTCAGAGCTGGCATCCCAAGCCTGCTCTTAACCAACGTGCCACTCGGCCGGCCTGCCACATTTGCTTTTCAGCTCTCTCTGGAAATGTCTTCCTTTCTTTGTTTCAATTTCAGTGTAATTAAATGCTGCCAGCATAATGTTTTCTGAACAATATCTTTAATTTACAGGAGCAGACATTAAATCCAGGAAGATGAAAGCTCGCAGCCCATCATCCAGACCTTAAAAATCCTCACATTTGCATCTATGTCAGTGCCTGGCACATGGTTGACACTTGATAAGTGTTTGTTGGCTAGATAAAGGAAAAGCTAACAGATACTAGAGCTATGAAATGAAACGTGTTCATAACCCTAAGTTCCTAAAGTTAGAAATCAGGTCTTAAATTCGTAGTGAATCAAGATTTAATTTGTATCTTATATCTAGAAGCTAGGAAATATTAAGTTTCTTAGATTGGGGGGAGTTGCAAGATGAATGAAAATTCTTACTTTACTATTAAAGTTGTCTCAAGGAACTGACTCTATGAAATGAAGGGATAAAGAAAATTCATGATTAAAGATCAAACAGTAATGGGAATGATTAAAGCAGGAAGTTACAGGCACATCTGCATTCATCCAGGTTTTATAAAATTACATTAAACGCCTCTTAATGTAAAAATATACTGAACATAACCCCACCCTTGGCCATTTCTCTGCAGATCACATCCTTGATGGGCAGCTGAGGAAACAAAGGAGCTCTGGCTTCACTTGGGTAAGTTGTCCAGGCGGCAGGGAACGTGGCAATTCTGTCCCCGATGGTCCAGAGGCAACAGGGCCCATGAATAAGCTAGCAACTGCGGCGCTTTCCCCAGCATCCCTGTTTGTGACGCTGGTCTGGGCCCTCCACCCCGTTCGTCAGTCAAGTCACTGTGCTCTTCAGCCCTTCAGTGACGAGCCTGGGCCCACCTCCTTGTCCCACTGCCTCAGGCGACCAGAAACAGTAGTAACAGTTCTGTCCTAATTGGAAATGGCTAGAAAAGATCCTTTCAGGCAACTTTTTTTTCTTGCCTTCTTCCAAAAAGGAAGAATTTATATCTCCACTTTTACATCACAGATCGCCCCTAAGATGCTGTGGCTGCTTGCTCGCAGGGTCGTGAAAGGATTCACGAGGCAGGTAGAAATACAGAAGGAAGGTTTATTAAAATAAGAGGAGGGTCGGCTGGGCAGAGTCTGCTGGAGACAACTGCAAACTACCGTGTTTCGTCTCAAGTTTTATATTTTCTAACCAAGATGTAAATCCCTTCAGCCTATTGTGGAATTTTATATTGAGTTCTGCTTAATCCCTTGGGGGTGGGGGAAGATGCAGTTAAGCCGGTTATGGCAACCTTTGCATATGTTATGTAGATTTAGGTTGGAGCCAGGAGTGGATCCCATACAGATGCAAAACCGCTCCCAAGTCACAGGGCCAGCACTGGGGCTGAAGTAAATAGGAACAGGGAAACTGGTATGCATAGTAAATGTATAGAAAGCAGAATCATTAAGAGGCAAAGAAAGAAAAGAAAGCTTTCAAAAAGTCCCATGCTAAATTACACTTGTTAAATCAAATTATACCAGAGATCCAAATCTCAAAACAGAAGATTTAGGGCCACCATTACAATCCCCCAATCTTAACATTGGGCATCCTCATGAATGAGACTTGAAAATGGGGGTAGGGGTGGGGGCAGGATTTGTCTGCCAGCGGGCAGAGAACACCGCATAACCCTGCATACAGGCCTGGTCCAACACAGCCTTTACTGTGTCAAGCAGCTAGACTTTAGGACCAGAAAAGAATCTCAACCGTTTACATAGTAACAAAACAAAACAAACTGATGCTGTGCTAAGTCCAGCTGCCTGCCAGCTTGAAAAAGTTAAAAATCGAGAGACAAGGTGGGTGGAAAGAAAAGCAGGTTTATTCAGAATGCCAGCATTCGGGGAGGACGGGCGGACTCCTGTCCAAAGGCCGCCTCGCCTCCCCGTTCCTAGAAGGGTCAGAAGGTTTTATAGGCACACAAGAACAAAGGCAAGGGGGAGGCAGTCAGGCAGGTCCAGGGGCTGACATTGCTTCCTGGGATCTGGTCTGTTTTAAGATAATGTTATCTCTGGACTCCAGACTCACACTCAGACACCACAGCCTGAGGCTTTATGTGTATTCCAGTGTCTGGGTGCCTGAGGATGAAGAAACTGCCCTTTCCAGGTTAGGATTTTGTTAATTAAATGCATTAACGAGGTACGGGTCCTCTGGAGAAAGGGAATAAAACAGAGTTCTTCAGTTAATCAGTGAAGGGAAAAACAAAGAGGAAACAGCTTAATACCACTGCAAACTACCTAGGTTTAATTACAGGTGGCTAGATAGCAAGCTATGCGGTGAATCAAACTGCAAACTAGCTAAGTATAACTGTGTTATTGATTTACCAAATTTTACCCTTACAAAATAAAAATAAAACACACACACACATACACACACACACACACACACACACACACACCCGCCCGGATGATAGCAAGTTTTGGCACAAGAGTACCTAATTTTTTTTTGGTCAGTATAGGTCACACAACGCCAAGCTTCTGAATATATATATAAATGCTCCCAAAGAGTCAAAGGAAACTCCAGGAAAAGACAACAAAAATTCCGTTTTGGTTGGGTAGAGTACTCTGGTAAGTTTTTCCTTTTGCACAGAACAGGATGCCTGAGGTAGGAGCCATGCCGACTTCCATAGAACATGCCTGATTTTTGTCAAAGGACAATGTAAAAGAAAATATTTAATTTTATTTGAGGAAAACAAGAGTAAAATAATGAAGACAGTTATTTTAACAAGTTTTTCTTATGGAAATTAACAAGTTGCTATTAATGCCACAGCTAAGAACTAGGCGTTATCAGCCTCACTTCTGGGCTGACATACTTTTTGATTATGTTATAAAGTTGATTCACTTAAGACCAGACCAATGACTTCATGTATATTTGGCTAAACAAAGCTGACAGGGCGTTTATGTTGAATTACTTCACAGATGTGAGACCCATCAATTAGAAAGAGCACAAAGCCCAGTGTCTTTTCTCTCAAATAATAATGACATAGGAAAACTTCAGATGAGACTAAGTTGTGTGTTCATTATGACCTTACATAAGAGAACAGACATCAAAGAGATGAGGCTATTCTGTCCTTATTTAACATCAAATACCGAAATTCACCTCAGACCTTCCCCTCAGGTCTCTGTGCCCCCGGTTCCTTTGACTCCAGTTTTTGATGCTGTAGATGGAGGCTGTCTAGCTTCTGCATATCTTCTGTAAGACCAGTTCTAAGATCCTCGTTTTTTCTTAGAAATTCTTTTACCACTTCCAGTTGATTTGAGATCTGCAAGAAGAAACCATACGATGTACAGTTCAGATAATTTTATAGCAGACTTGTAATTCAGATGAAAAACTTACTAGCTCCAAGACTGGCTCCTACTCAGGTGTCCACCAAGAGATAGAAACCTATAGGCATCTGTCCACAAACAGGATAAGGTGTGAAAAACAAAACCAAACAAACCCTTTAAAATAAAGCACCCTCTACTCAAACAAAACGAGACCCAGGAGAGCCGGCTCTGGGCTACACAAGGGGGTGTTTGCTTGCCTCCTCAAATTTTTTTGCTTTAAAACTTCCTGCATTTGTAGGAAAGGGCCATACCCGCGCGCGCGTGCACACACACACACACACACACACACACACACATATATATATATACACACACACATACACATATATATGTATGTATATATCAAAATAAAATGAAGCCCTTTCATTTTGAATTTTGTACCTGTACATGTATTAAATATGTACATACATATGGATATGGATATGTACATTGTGTATGGTTATCCACATGGATTTCTATGTATGTATCTGTGTATATATATTTAATAGTAATACATGTACAGGTAAAAACTTCAAAATGAGGGCCGGCCAAGTGGCGCGTTGGTGAAGAGCTGGCTTGGGACGCCGGCTCTGAGCAGCAGGGCCCTGGTTCAGATCCCACATATGAGGGCCAATGACACTGCCCTTTACAGCTAAGATGGTGAACAACAGCTTGACCTGGAGCTGGGCTACTGTGAGCCGCCGGTGACAGCATAGGGCTGTCACCCCTGCTGCAGTGGGCTGCCATAAGCTACCATGAGTGGCTGGCAGTCAGCATGAGCGGCCGGCAGCTGGTGTGAGCTGCCAAGAACCGCGGTGAGTGGCCGTCCAGAGGCCGGTGCCTCACCTGGGAAGAGCTCAATGATAATACCAACATGGGCCAGTGAAGCAACGTGCTCCACAACTAGACTGAAGAACAAAAGGACAGCAACTTGTCTGTTCCCCTTCCCCTGATTCCCCAGAGCTGTTCCCCTCCCCCAATTCCCCAATAAAATCTTAAAAAAAGAAAACCAAAAACTTCAAAATAAGCACAAGGGTACAAGGTAAAAAGTCACCTATCTCCTCCTCTCAGAGGTGACCACAATGAAATTTCTTGTTTCTTCCTGAGATATTCTATGCATTTCCATGTGAGGATGGATATACACTGTATACACACTCTAAAAAAAATACAAATGGCAGCATACTGGACACTGTTCTTCAACTGATCTTTTCTTCATCAGATTATAAAGAGTGGCCTCATTATATATTTTAATGGCTGGATAATATTTCAATTACAGATGTTTCTTTTTTTTTTTTTAATTGGGGAATTGGGGGAAGGAGAACAAACAAGTTGCTGTCCTTTTGTTCTTTGGTCTAGTTGTGGAGGACGTTGCTTCACTGGCCCAAGTTGGCACCATCATTGCGCTCTTCCCGGGTGAGGCACATCAGTCGCCGGCTTCTGGATGGCCGCTCACTGCGGCTGCTGGCCGCTCACGCTGGCTGCTGGCTACACACGGTGGCCCATGGCAACCCACTGCCACAGGGGCTGCAGCCTATGCCGGCGCCGGTGACTCACGGCAGCCCAGCTCCAGGTTGAGCTGTTGTTCAGCATCTTAGCTGTAGAGGGCAGTGTCACTGGCCCTCATATGTGGGATCCGAACCGGGGCCCTCTGGCGTCCCAAGCCAGTTCTTAACCATCGTACCACTCGGCCAGCCCCAGATGTTTCATATTTTAATATATTATTTCAAACCTTCTGCTGAGACCAATAATGCTATAGTAACTAACCTGGTACATGTGTCATTTTGTATAAGTGACAAGTCTATTTGTAGAATCTGTTTCTAGAAGTGAAATGCAGTTTTAATTCTGATAGAGTTTTCTGTTTTAACTTAATAGATTTTACCAAAACTGCCATCTACAGAGGTTGTACCAATTTAAACTCCCACTAATAACGTACTTCCCGCTATTTAAACTAATAAAAGTACTCTCAGAGTTGTACCATGGAAGTGTTTTCACAGGGTTTATCCCAGGATACTGGTCACTGTGCTTACTACAAAGATGCGAATTACTCATTTTTGGGTGTGGTGAATTTTTTTAAATGGAGGACCCCCAACTCCAAGTTAAGTCAAGATGATCTATATCTAATGAAGAATGATAGAGTACCGTACCCCTAGCAGAGAGGTGGTTCTTAAACTTTAGAGAGTGTACGTGGTTGATTCTGACGCAGTAGGTCTAGGGTGAAACTAAGCAAGCACTCAGGTGATTGTGATGTCAGTGAATGAGACAGCCAGATGCTGGATGATAGCTGCCAGGGATGGAAGGGAGTGGGGAAGACTGGCTGCAGCTTGTGGCCATGATGAATATGGAGCAGGCGGGCCAGGGAGGAGGTCTTTAGATAAGTTAGTAAGTAGTTGGGGGCGTGCCCTTCAGCTGGAGCTGTTTATTACATGGCTGGAAACAAGGCTACAGCGCCCTGAAAGACACCTGGGCTTTAAATAATAAATCTGGAAACCATAAACACGTGAAATGAAGATTACACCAGTGACATTATTCATAGCATACATTAGTAACCGTGGATACTGTACAGTTAGTGCTTATTGTCTGTGCCTGGTGCTCTAGAAGCACCCCAGGGTTCTTCCTGCACTTCCCATTAGATGCCCGTGACCGTGCTGGCTGGGTCTGGGCACCTCACATAGACCCAAGATGGAGTGAGGTTCTCCCGTTCCCTGTTTGGAGACCTTCTCATTTGATGACTTGGGAGCCGTGATCCTTTGTGCTGTCACCTCCTGACCCTCTCTGCCCTTGACATTTGCTTAAGAGGGGCAATTATTTTAGCTTGTTTGTGGGGCGGGGGAGAGGGGAGAAAAAGTCAAAAGAAGTTTTTCTTAATTATTAAGAATGGGGAAGGCTTATGCATGTTTATATGTAAAGTGGGAAGAGAAAGTAGAGCTGGGAAAACTGAAAAAACTATGGAACTTAGTCAGACAGGCTTAGATAGTGAAGCCCTGCTTTGTCGCTTAACCAGCTGTGTGACTTTGGGCAAGACACTTGACCTCTCTGAGCTTACTTCCATGTATGCAAATAAAGGATGATGCTAGCAACCCCATCTAGAATTCTTGTGAGGATTAGAAATAACCTACTAAAAGCATTTAGCTTTTGTGTCTGGTACATTCCTTCCTCCATTTATTTCATAACTGTTTAGTGGGAGTCAGTCTAACAGGCACTGTTACAGGTTTTAAGATGCTTAGCGCTTCATTCTTCCAGCCACTTAAGCCAAAACTTTTGAACTTGTCTTTGAAAGCTCTTTCTCTCACATGCCACATCTGCCCACCTTCTTACCCCCTCTACGCTGGTCTGGATCATCATCTCTCCTACCTGGTAACTGCAGCAGCCTCCTAATGGGTCTCCCTGCTTTTATCTTTAACTGCCCTCCACCCTTCCCTGGCATCCTCAACATGGCAGCTAATGTGCTCCTTTTGGCATTGTGTTGCTGGGAACTGTGCCCCAGCTCCCATCTCAGGAGCCAGAGCCTAGGTCCTTCCCATGGCTCACAAGGCCTAATAGGACCTGCCTCTTTCCTCTTCATTCTCTTACCTCCTTACCCTATTCTTTCCCTCACCCCACTCTAGCCACCCTGGCTCTACTGTTTGCTATTCCCTCTGCCTGAATACTTCCGTTCCAGATAAACACAGGGCTAATCCTTACTTCCTCCAAGGTGTGGCTAAGTCTCCCCTTCTCAATGAGGCCACCCTAACCACTCTATTGCGGCCTGATCCTCGTCCGCACTCTGCCATTCCTGATCCCCCATACTCTGCTCCACACAGTGCTTCTTCTAAGGCACCACATCATTTACTTATTAGGTTGACTGTTTAATGTCTGTCTCCCCCTACAGGGATCTTTGTTTTGCTCGCTGATGCACAGCAAGTTTCTAGAACTGTGCTTGGCACAGCGTAGACACTTGCTCGGTAAATATTTCTGGAATAAACATAAATAAATAAAGTATCATTCTGATCCTTTCCCTGACTGCCTCGAGTACATGCTGTCTGTCACTGCTCCTTCTCTGCAAGCTTCCCCATGGAGCTCTGTGAAGATGGTTCCCTCACCAGGGTTTATGAAATCAGTCATGATTTTTTCAGAATGTACAAATTTCTTTACATGTTCTTTTTTTAGCCACTTACTGCACTCAACCTTCTTTAGCTGAATTTTTAAATTCCCAGGTCCTGACGCAGCACGGCGGGCTGGCAGGAATATGTGAAGGGCTCCTGGGTGGCAGCTGAATTCTGCTTCAGCTGGGCTCTTGATAGACACACTCGACATGTGTCCCGAGGGGCCTGGGCAGCTGCCGCTCCCATGTGGCTCTGAAGCAGAACGCATTTTATAACCACAGTTATACATGCAGTGTAGTTTCATGGGAGCCCCTTTTTCTAATGTTAGATATCATTAAGGTATTTACAATGATGAATAAGACTATTAAATCTTCTGTTTTCTAAATCTAACAGAAAAGAATGGAGATGATGAGCTCTCTGCTATGTGCTCCTTGGTACTCCCAAGCTCTGTGATGTGTTTTTGGGAACCATCACACTAAATTGCTACCACTCACCATTTTTTTCTCAACTTGGCTTTCCAACCATACTCCCCCTCCTTTAATGAACACCAGAAACAGGTCTTGTTAAACATTCACAAAAAAAGTCCTATGGTTATAATATAATCACTGTATTTCTTGATTCCTAGATGCACTTTTTTTTCCTTCATATTTTAACATCTCAAATGAGAACGCACCTTGCCATTGATAGTCTTACAATAAATTGGCAGCATTTTTTTTCTTTCTTAGAAGTAACTGAATTAATGGTGTGTCTTATAATTGATGGCATTTTAGAGTCCCTAAAATTTGGTTTATCGAATCCTCTGACTTTGGAGACTAACCCTAATGAGCACGGATAAACATATCTGGCACTCAACTTTCAAACAAGGTCAAGTGCCACACATCATGGAAAGCCAACCTTCAACTTCTTAGAGATAATATACCAATCAATCTGAACTTAACATTTTGATCAACTGAAATATCAAGAGAAATGCCATGGTCTACTGAATAGAAAACACGCAAAATGAGAACTGATCAACTCTATCTAGAGATTTGGGGACCCACAGGACAAGCCAATCAACCCCAATTTCCTCTCTGTAGAACAGAGATAACGAGGGTTTGAAATTTCCAGTTACCAGCTGCTTGGTGATACCAGATGCAGTGCGACAGTGAAAAGGCACAGGCCAAGTGCGGGGAGACCCCTGGCCAGCCCTCACTCCCCAGCTGTGTGGCCTTGCATCTGACAGTGCCTGCGCCTTGGGGTCACTGCCTGGCGTGTAAAGCAGGGGATATAAGATGATTACCATCTTCCTTTCCAGCTCACAGCTCACATAGACTCCTGGCTTGAGTGTGCTGCTGCTGATGCGTTTTGTTCTTTGTTACACAAACAGGAAATAACTGCAGCTCCCTCAAGAAGGAAGGGGGAAATACTGACGACTCAGGGACCCTGAGCCCGATCCTCGGGTTGTCTTCCGTTGATCGACTCTGCTTCTAAAAGCAGCAGCAGACAGAGAGCTGGGGCTGGCTCTAACAGCATTGTAAATTAAAGCAAGATGAAACACATGGATTTAGGAAACAGTCTTATTCATCATTTTCAATACCTCTGGTGTGCCAGGGCATGCACACCCCAAAACCAAAGGTACCCAGTACCTGTGCTAAAGGGGCTCACCAAGTTGAATGAAGCATCTCGGTCAAGGTCAGAACAGTTAACACATGCATATGAACCAGCAAGGAGTGTGGCTTCATGAATGAAGTATGCACTTTGTATTGGGCTGTTGGAAAAGTCATGACGTATTTTTTGTTGCAAAAATGCGTCATGACTTTTCCGACAAACCAATAGTACATAAACACCCTCTCTGTGTTTAATGAGGTAACCAGCAAAAACTACTTTCCTCAGACAAAGTGGAATGGAGAGGTAAAATAATTTGTCTAAGATCTGGTGATCTAGAACTCTAATCCATCAGGTGCTGGAATATTTCGGAACCTTACTGGAATACAATTTTACTGTTTCTTTTTTTTTAATACCTTGCATGTAACCAAGGGGATTCATCTCATTGTACTCCCTATCAGGACTTAAAACCATCATTAGCTTGCAATGTCCTAAACTAGAAACCTGGTTGATCCTTTAACCCCCTCCTTCCAGTCCCATGCTCATGCTCCAAGTAATCTAATCGGTCATTAAGAGCCATCAGTTCTGCCCAAGCAATGCCTCCCGAGTCTGGCTCTCCACACCTCTAGTTTCTGTCCTCTTTCTCTCACCCTCACACGACTGAAAGAGCCTCCTGGCTAGTCTCCAACCTCCAATTGCCATAAGAGTGAACTTTCTAAAAGCTGTATCTGCTCTATTTCATTTACTCTTTCTTGCTTAGAAACATCTGTTGGCTCTCTACCGCTTTCTGGGAATAAGCTCCAAACCCCTTGGTGCAGCACAGAAAACCTTCAAAATACGGCTTCAGTCTACCTGACCACCTCACATCTGCCCATGCCTCCTCTGTGCGCCTTGCCGCTGCCCATGCCCAAGCTATTCTTTCATGCCTTGGCAGGTGCTGTTCCTTCTACCAAGAACACACTTCTGCTCGTGCCAATGTGCCAAACTGATTTGTTTCTGTTAGTCCCAGCTCAACAGCACCTTCTCAGCAAAGCCTGTTTTTGTAATCCACCCCCCTCACCCCGACTTGCAGAGAATCTCCAGGACCTTTGTTTAGAATTCTGTGGTAGCCCTTACCATGTTGTTCTACTCTGCGGCACACATTAGGCACCCAAATATTTGCTGATTAAGTGAAAATATTTGTTTAAAGGTAATGTTAATCTGTGCTAAAAGAATATTCATTTCTGGAAATTATTTGACTTATAAATCAGAACCATAACTGGCAGTATGTTAAAATGGGCTAGTCTTCCTCCCCGGCACCTTTCTTTGTTTTGTTTTCTCACTCAGAGGATATAATACATTTTTTTTTTACCTCTTCAGGCAACACCTCTTGTTCTTTTGCTTGAAGATATATCTCTTGAAGTTTTTCCTTTAGTAATTCCATTTCTATTTCATTTACTTGGCTCACGCTCAGGTAAACGCCTGCTTCAAATTCACACCCGTCTCGCTGATCTTCCTCGGGGATGTAAACAGCCCAGTCAGATGTCAACAGCTGTTGGATTTCCAAACAAATATACGAAATGATTGAATGGAAGAGACATTCCACTGGATTAGTGAAAGAATTTGTAATTAAACATCATTGACTGGATCCACTTTAATAACATTCTGTGACCACAGGAAAGCGTCTCAGCTCAGCACAATTCTAGATTTCATATCAATGTGTTTTCCCCCGTTTACATTCTAAACTTTCCTTTAAATCTAACAAACTTCAAATTCTAAATGAAGGATGGTGGTTGCTTTTTTTCCTTAGTTTTTAATGCCAGAACTGTTCGATTGAATTTTTACCTGTTCTATCCTGGAGTACACCGCCACAATCTCTGGGATACTCTTGAATTCATTCAGAAAATTTTGGATCTTCCTCTGGAAATCTCGAAGCCACACAGAAGAGACCTTCATCTCCGAAGAGTGCATGATCTCATTACGGCACTTAATCACCTACAGAAAGACCCCAAAAAAAGAAAGAGAAAAGGCTTCAAAGTCAAACAGTGGGATAAACTGAGATTTTTGTAGTTCCAAAAAAAAGTTGCAGAAAGGCTCTGTCAATGACAAAAACCACACATGTGGCCTGGCGGTGCTATCAAGGCTCTGGACGATGTTCAAGCCCCGGCCACATGAATAATAAATTCACCGGGTTAAGAAATACAAACAAGTCTTCAATTATCCTTAGCCCTTGAAATCCTGTACCTGGTTTGATATCTCTTACAATTCCCCAAATCCCTTAACTGCAAACAAGCTGCCAAAGAGCAAGCCTATCGGCTATCGGCTATCGGCTTTGGGTACACCCAAAGGCTGAAGCAGACAATGCAAAAATCTTTTAAATAGTGTTCGAGCTCCAGGAAGCTGAGCCAAGGGAGTTTTGTTTTTTTTTTAGCTGAGCCATCCTGCCACCTCTTGGTGGCTCACCGGCAACTCAGCTCAGGCCGGGAATCGAACCGCTGATGCTCAGAGCTCAAACTCTTGAGCGAGCTCTTAACCAACTGAGCCACTCGGCCGGCCCCCAAGGGAGTTTTTTGATGCGGAAACCATGATAAAAAGAAAACTAACTTTTGCCTATATTTTAAGACAAATGGTGCTGCTTGATCATACACTAATTCATTCATGTAATGTCTTCCACATCTTCATTAAGAGATATCAAAGGGGTCAACTTTGTACTGTGATAGTTTTTGTTTCTGCTGATGATACAGAGGGTTCTTATTACCTTCAGCTGCTGGCATGCTAGTAAAATATACATGCATTTTCTCTATATATTATAAATAATCCATTCAAATATATTCTCAATGACCCTCAGAGTAATAAATGTGCCAGAGCTGTTCTCTGGTGAAACAGATAAAGCCTAAATCTCCCAGGAGAAATCTGACAAGCATAGCGATCTATTCTGACCTTGTTTATCCACTAGTGTTTATATTTTCTTCAATTCTATGTAACTTGGTCTTGTAACTATTTAGCCAATGAGATTTAGAAGGGCAGGATTCAAATGCTGGCATACAATGGACAGAATAACACATTGCTCTGTATCTATTTTTATTACAGAAAATATATTTTTATATATTATATATTTATATATATTATAATACATATATTTTTAATATAGAAAATAACTTTGCTTCTGTTTATGGCAGAACAGGGAAGAGAAATTGAGGTTCACCTAGTTTAGTGAATGGTACAATAGCAAATTGTCAGGAAGCATCAATTAGGAGGATTGCAGGGTCAGTCTCCTGACTGCATTCACCTGGGAGGTCTTGGACATCACAGAAGGCGCATGGGATGTGAGCCCCACCAGCCTGCTGAGCGATGCCAACTTTGAAGCAAAGTCTAACTTTCTTTGCACACCACTGTTTTGGGGAGAGACTGCATGTTATATCTGCACGCTGGTTTAGGATGACAGGGTGTGTTTCTCGGATGGTCTTCACAGTACAGACATGAATGACTCCCACTGTATGGTTTGAAATATGACAGCCCTTACCTCTGTGACTTTCTTTCGATCAACCACGAAGTGATCGCAGGAGTTGATGAGGCTTAAAAGAGCAACTGCATCACATTCCTCGGGTCCTGTTTTGTCTGCCAGTCCTCGGGGCATAAAGGCCTGAAGGAGGGGAGGCACGAGGGGCACCTGAGTCTCCTCCAAACCGAGGAGCTACTAGAGTCAATGTTACTTGCCTATTTCCCAAAAGATGACTGCAATTCTCTTACTGAGGTTTCAAGTTAGGAGACTCACGAGTCCAAAAAGCAAGTCAAAGAACAGTATAACAGCTAAGCCTCAGCCAAGGGCAATAACTAAAGGGGTGCTCTATCTGTCCCTCTGCTCTCAAGAGACCCTTAGACACAACTGGTTCTCTGTCTTTTCTTAATGGCATATAAGCAGGAAGCATAGGTAGGAAGCACCTTTTATCTTTTCCTTACTGACGTGTCACTGGCTAAGTTGTTAAAGAAGATTTAAACTTTTTTTTTTTTTAAGATTTTTATTGGGGAATTGGGGGTGGGTGGGAACAGCGCTGGGGAATTGGGGAAGGGGAACAGGCAAGTTGCTGTCGTTTTGTTCTTCAGTCTAGTTGTGGAGGACGTTGCTTCACTGGCCCAAGTTGGCACCATCATTGCGCTCTTCCCA